GCTGCGGTGCCGCGTGGCGGGGATGCGGGATCCACGCTGTTTCCATAGCAAGCTCGAGTTCCTTGGGACCCGTGGCCAGAGCCGGGGACTGCGGGCAGCGCGTTCCCCCCTGCCAGCAGCGCGAGCTGGGCCGCGATCCCGCACGGGAAGGGCATGGTTTGCATTGCGCGGGCCTTTGTTCTGTCCCTCGCTGTGTTTGTTTGCATGCTCCGTCTCTGCCCAAAAAACATCTCGCAGCTTGAAAGCCCTTCACACGTCTTCCTCTGCCAGTCAGAGCCCGGCCCCGCCAGCGGCTGGTACTGAAATACGCGGGCGGCGAGTCTCCCCCCGCCCAGCTGCGCTGCGCTCTCACGCTCGGGTACCGAGCAAGGCTGAGTGGAGAGATTAAAGTGATTTGTGCTAACAGGTTTCCAAATTTGACGTTGCTTTTCTGGGAATACTGCGGCGTGCTCGTGGGGAGCTTTGTCAAGTGCCAGCGCAGGTTCAGATCTTTCTTCCAAGCGGGGATTTTGTAACGGCGTGCCTGCCTGCAGCGTGCGCTCGGCGGGCGCCCGCCCGCTGGGAAAAAGACTGGAGCATCGCTGCTAGGACCCGGCCATGCCACCCGGTTTGGTGGCACGAGATGGGGCAGCCACCCCCGTGCTCGGGGCCCCCCTCTGCTGAGCTGACAGCCCCTCGCCTGGGGCGAGCAGCACCACGTCCCGAGGCGGCGGCTGACCCGTGCATGGAGCCGCATGGGTCCTTCCCGGCATCGCCCAGAGCCGGTGCTGCAGCCAGCATCGGGGGGCGTTGCCGCAGGGGGATGCGGGCATGATTATGCCCTCCACGCTGGCGAGATGTCCCAGGCGGGGGACATGGAGGTGGGAGCTGCCGTGGGTCTCTCCGGGACAGGGTTTGCTGGTGGGCTCACCAGGAGGACGGGCAGGCTCATGCCGCTGTCGTTCTCTGCCTGTAGGTTGTAAAAACTGTATTAGTAATTTCTGTCTCTATTTTAGGAAGGTGCTTCCAAAGGCAGTTTGCTTTACAGATAACGCGGAGCCTTCGGGGGATGTGCGGGATGGCAGGAGTGCTATAAAATGCAGCGATGGCGAGAACATTTTTGGAGAGAGAAAACAAACACCCAGCAGGTGGCTTGGTTTGGCACCGTGCAGATGCATCTTCTGACGAATTTGTGATGCGTTTAGGAAGCCTCGGCCTCGTGCCTCAGCAGAGCATCTTTCACTTTGGATTTCGCAGCCCTCCGGGTGCAGGCAGTGAGCTTGCGGGCCGGCGGGAGAAGCTTGCCGCGCTGTCTGCCTGCTCTGTTGCATACCACTTTGCAAGCCTTTGGTCTGTGCGGTTCTCCTGAACCCCCCTCTGCCTCCAGTATCGCAGGGATTCTCCTCAAAGCAAACCCATCTAAAGGTGAATGATGCTCCCCCCCCCTTTCATTCCCAGTCCATCCTTTTGTGCTGGCCCCGCAGTGCGGTGCGGGCGGACGAGAAGCGCTGGTAGCAGCAGGGGGTTGCTCAACCCGCAGCACTCGCAAGTTAAGCAAGCGGCTGGTTCCCATCGTGCGTTCCCAGGCGAGTGAGCCCAAACCGAGACCAGGGAATCTGCAAGCGGCTGCGGCGTCAAAGCGCTTCTCCATGGAGAAATGACCGCCGGCTCGCCGCGGCAGTCGCGGGGGTGAGCAGGGAGAAGCAGCCGGGATTTTTCCAGTGCTCCTGTTCCTGCTCGGTGCTGGGGGTGGATCCTGCGGTGCGAGCGATGTCGCTGGCAGTGGCTGGGCCCCGACACGCTGTGAAGGGGGTGGGAGAGCCCCGTGTCCCCCCCCTGCTCCCCGGGCAGCTGTGCTCACAGCTGGCTGCGGGCCAGCGGGGCTGGG